ATTTAACCTTTGAATGACTCAAAATTACTCAAACTTTGTCATTTTTAGTCATTTTACTGATGATTTTTGTGGTTAACCTGGGTAGACTAATAAAAATCTTTAGCAGCAGGGAAGGTAAATGTTACTGAATGAGCTATTGTTAAAGCAATTATGATACTGAAAATAAAGTCTCATTCAGTCCAAGAAAAGGCCAATCAGTAAGCTTTGCCCTCTTACAAACATGTCTAGCAACACTGGAGCGCCCACAATCAGGCTGTTTGGGTCACCAAAAGCGTGGAGCTATTACACACAAGTAGTAAGAACGGAGTCCCCCCCCCCACAAGTGTGATGCCACGTCTGTCTAATCCACGCCCACTGCACATGCATATACGTTATACACGACCATCGCAGGTACGCTAGTTCGCGGTAAATTGCCGTTATTTTTTCGTTTGATTTGACGTGTGGAGTCATCTTGAAAGACTCTTCCACAAAAATTTGCAGCCTGAAAAGTCTGAGTGTAACATAATTTATGTATTTTGTGTCTTGACTCCTTACTTTCAGTCGTCTGATCGTATTTAGAATTGAAGCTGACGTATACAGCCTCGTTTTCAAACGCGGAAGTGCGCAGATCGACGCTAAAAGCATCGTATTGGGATCCCTCTATTGAAGACCCTAGAGCCTAGACATTCTTTGCACACAGTGATCGCCCGTACTGTCAGGTAGCTGGTAACCCAAACATTCGCAGTGTTTCGCTGCGGCATACTGGAGTAAATAAATGGTGGAAAATATGCACGGAGAGGATGTGCAGTTCTCTTCAGTCCTCAGGAGTCAGCGAGTGATATCCGCAGATGCACTCGAAAATTCCAAATCTGCGGTGGTTATTTGGCAAAAGTCGGACGTTTTTAAAGTCAGTTTCCGGCGGTAGAGAACAAATACCCAAAATACGAACTGTGATATTTATATCATACATAAGTCGCAATCCTAGTGGTTCCTACGGTTAAAAGAAGATGGAAACATACCGCAGGAAGGCATTTGACAACGTGGTGAGGTTTCATGCCGAGACAGTTGTGGACAATGACAGAAAGGACAACGAATCTTCCCATATTTTTTTATTTTCTTCTGGACCAGCTACATTCGCTCAGTTTTCTTGTGCGTATTTTTGGAGAGTTTGTATTAATAATTCTATTTATTGTTAAGAGAGACGTTTTGGGGATGTAAAGACTTTCATTGTCATTGGAATATCAGAACAATCACTAAAATTATCGAAATTTGAGGCAGTGTCCGAAAGGGGCTTCCAGAGCTACGGCTAGGTCTATTGTCTGCGCGTCTCCACGCATTTCCAATGGAGCAAAGACCTAGACCTAGCTCTAGACAAGAGATTCGGATGCAGCCTATGTCTCCGAAGACAATGGTTTCCGTCTCAAGGTGGCCATGTTGAACATGCAGAAGTGTTACAGACACGCATGCGTGGTACCCACGATCCTTTGCAAATGCAACTCCGAGCATTCCTTGTAGCCCGCACGCGGCGCGGAATTTGTTTTGTCTCTGCAGCACGTGCAGTGCTGGTGGTGGCCATCATTGACCCTTTTGATCTTTGTATGTGCCGACTCCTTGCGTTTAATAGCTCCATGCCAAAAGCCACTTGGATCCTTCAAAATGATACCGTATTGGAATCTCCATGTACAGGTGGACGTTAATGCTTACAGATCAGTTTGTACATGAAGGAACTTAACAGTCCAAGGACATAATCATGCTTTCTAATAGTATGGGATATCTTGTGCCCGGGTAGTTGACCCGCACCAAGATGAACAATACCCACTATCATCTGAGCAAAATAGCAGCATTCCATCTGGCCCCCTCACAAAGCCCCTTCCAGCTTGATAGTCCTGATCACACATGGGGCATGTTTTCTTTTATGGAGTTTGGTAGGTTTCTGCCAGGTCTCCAAGAAGACTCTAATTTACAGCAGCCGCAATGAAAAAAATAAAAATTGAGTTACTAATAAATAAATAACATAATAATAAAAACAAAATAGGTTCTTGTAAAGTGCACATATCCTAGATACTAGATCACGGAGCTGATGAACAGCACGATGTGCAGCCAAACCAACCAGAAACACTTGGGCAAGCCCCTACTCTTTCAAGATAAGTGTCCGTGGGATCTGCTCAACTACGCTAGGCTTTTCGTTTAACATTTCATCTGAAGGACACAAGCCCTCTGGTGACAATAAAGGGCCCCCCCTGCCCCAGACAAGTGTGAACTAACCTCAGTCAGCCATGCAACCCCAGCCAACACATAAAACGATTTCCCACCCCAGTGCAATCTGCAATCGATTTTGCTTGTCTTCAAAACAATGTCATGGCTATAAATTTTTGTAAAAATGAAGTTTGAAGGGCAAACAAACAGAGAATAGGACACGCAGCTGGGTCTTCGGTCTATCTGGAAAACAGTGGTCTGTTTGACGAGTTAAACCACATTGCATGGGTGGTTGACGGTACAGGTAAGGCAACACTGAACCTATACAATTGAGTGCCCGCATAGTTTAGTCTTGAACTTGCTATATTACCAACAATAATGCAATCACTCACAAAAAAACACTACCGACGGAAAGTCAGGGAGCGACCCTGTACAAAGTAGTCAATGAGTCCTGTGTGGTTTCGCAAACCAGTGCTTGCTTATCCATAAAGCCCCAGAACTGCACAACAGTAGGAGTGAAGTATGGATTTTTACGTTGCATGGACTAATTGGGCTAGCCCCATTAATGTGGCCTACGCAGCGTACCGTAGGCCACATTAATGGGGCTATAATTGGCAAGTCCCACTTAAATTTTCTCCATATTTCCTATCGTAAGGAGTGAAGTGTGGGACTTGCTGTAGCTTCTTCAAAAGATTTACAGTTTAGTCTGATGTTGCCCAAGAGTTGGTCATCAAAAGCCGTTGCGAGCGCTAAGATTAACTGCAGTACTTCGATTGGCAACGAAAACATCCCTGTTTTTCTCTGCAAAATACGTCCATACAAAGAATTTTAAATTTTTCCCCTCACTGAAAATGCCAACACTTAATTTGACCGATGGATGTCACAATCGTAAAAGATGAGTATGACCAGGGGTAAGCCTTCGTTACTCATGTACGTGTAGGCCAGGGCTCGTGCTACCGTGGTGCAGCTTATTTGCCGGTGGCCAAAGTACAGTCGACCTGCCTCCATTCTAATCTTCTTTATTTTCTGTCGCCAACTTCTTCGCTCGATTTCACTGCTCTCAATTTCATAGCGACTATCAGTAGCTCAAGCATGTAAAAAACGAACAATTTTATCATATTCTTCTGGATCCATTGCTAGCTAGAGAACGGTCCGCATACAAATGGCGAACGTCAGCAAGTTTGCGATATGCATACTTCGTGTCCGTCGACCAACAGAGGGCGTTTACTGCAAGGGCTGTTTTGCATGGAGGCGGACACAAGGGTGCATTCCACTAATTCAAGCCCCATTGAAAACAGTGTAAAATCAGCACTGTTCAGGGCCCGATAGCATGCAAGCCTACATCCCTGAGATTTCTGAAACACAAATGAAATTCTTGTCAGGTCACTTATCTTTCAATTTCTTTTCAATTTTTTGTGGGTTAACCAATTACAATTTTAATTATTCCCACAAAACAAAATCACCCCCCCAAGTCATTTTGCCGAAGTCTGATTGCAGCCATTTTTCAAGTGGCAACCCTCAACTTTGTCGGGCACTTAGGACCATTTTTAAACCGTAGTTTTTAGCCCTTCTGCTTTCAGGGAGTTGATCCCTGCAACAATTTACACAATCTCAACATTTTGGGAGCCAAACAATCTCCTTTTTCAAAAGATACTCTGGGGGCACTTTTAATACTAATGAGCTGGCCAGAAATTCTCACTTGAATTAGTGGTCTGCACCCACAAATGCATAATGCACATGTGTCGGGGTGGAGAAGAGTCCGGGTGGACATAATTGCATATGCAAAACCGTCTGGCGGACGGTATTGCATATGCAATCATGTCCGCCGGATATTATTGCATAGAGGACATAATTGCATGCGACACCTGACAAGCGGGGCCAGAGCAATACTTGTAGTTTTTTTGCTTGCAATTAAATACAAATTATTGCTGTGACCAGGAAATAGAGAGAGAGAAAAATCCCTGATATTAGACCTACTTTTGCCATGGTAAATAAACTGTTTAAATTTTGATACACTCTTCCATTATCCGTGAAAAGTTTGTAATTTTATTCTCCTCCGTCCAATACATCAGTGTTCAAAGACTTGGAACGAATTTGGCTAAGACTGGCTAACAAAATGTTGACAAAACATGAACAACAACATGAACAAAAGTTCAAGTAACAAAATACGCTATATCATAGGGAGTGATCGTGAAATCTTATAAAATACGCCTTTGTACAAATGCCATAATGAAAATGATTAAAAAAAAACATAAAGTCTTGTAAACAACCAGACTATTTATTCCCAAAATAACTCCAGAAGAAAGAGCTCATTAAGGGCAACGACTGCACATATAGATTTAGGGCAGACAGCGTAATGCAAGCAACTGCGCAAGCATTAAATTTGATGTTTGTCATGCCATCCCATCAAGCACCAACAAATGCGTGAATATTCAATTTCCTATACCTCAGTGCACAAAGTTTTAAGGATGTACAATTTAGATCACCAGCGACAAATTGCAGCGGCTATCATAGGGTACAAAGGGGTTTCGTGGTTGTGGAACAGAGGGTGCGTAGCAATCGTTCGCTGTGCTCTGGCTATGGACCTACCAGGCATGCCAGAAAGCGGTAATTGGCCAGATGTTACAGCCCGTGCAGTTCAAATTCCTTCTGTGTCCTTCCTCTATGGTCTAATCATGGTCCAATTTACCTTTACAGCAACCACAGAGGAATTAAAACACATATTCTTCCATGCAGAAACTAACCAAAGTCTCTGGGCACGTTGAATTGCGTAAAAGCATGCATTGTCCATTCACACCGACCATAATTCTTGGTCTACATGGGCGCGTTATAAAGTTGAGGGCAGTGTGGTACAAAAAGCGCGTGGAACGTCCTTGGTTACGTGTAGTGTGTATTGTACATGCACATGTACATGTACATTTGTACAGTGTACATGTACGTGTCAGTCACGTACGTGTGATTGTCCGTTTCCTATTATTGCTGCAGTTATTCATAGAAACCGCCCGAGCGAGTGCTCACGGACAACCAAGCCGACCCCCTTGGTAGGCTTGACCCCTAGGCAGGCTTGTCTAATGTGTGTATGCACACAAGCACACATTATAGTTTAAAGCAGAGAGAAGTTGTGGCTCATTTACGGAAAGTTCCTCGTCCTAACCTAACCCCAAGATGGTCGTCTCGGCAGCAGTTGGTGGCGGGGCAGTCACCGGTGTCTTCACCGTCACGGGGACAACGATCGCTCTGGGGGCAACTGTGTTAGTGCTCGTCGTTCTTCTCGTACTGTGTCTCGGAGGGAGTAGCGGGGGCTTGGGCGCGGAATCTCCTCCAGTGGCGCCTGGTAAACGATGTGTCTCTGGCCACTTGGGCAGTAAGTTAACTTACTCGGGTTTTTTGGTCTGCTCTTTTGCATACAATATAATATTACCTCGACCAGTGGCCCATGGCCTTGGTAGGCAGTCAATGTCTGTTAGAGCGAGGAATCTGCATTTTTAATTTTGTTGTTGTTACCTGGTTAAAGTTTTTACGTGTGTGCCTTCGGCAGAATGTTCGCAGAGCATCTCATGAACTCATACTTGTTCATCTTGAATATGCTCAAGCATAATAGAGAACATTCCTTTTCAAAGCTGACTGGCTTTCCAAATCGTTTCTCTCCCCAACCAACTTCAGTCATGACAGGGGCCCAGCCCTCCTGGATCACTCTCAATCAGATCGGGAAGGAGAAGGGTGACGTCATGTCCTTGAAGGTCGGCCATTGGGTGATCATGCTGAACACCTTCGCGGCCATCAAAGACGCAGCCGTCAACTTCGTCAAGGAGATGGGTTCTAGACCAAGTAATTACACCAGTGAGTGGAAAACGTTTTTCATTTCTCTCTCCGCCCGCTCACTTCTGAAGGAAATCTGCAGCCTCCAGACATCATTTTGAGGTCAGAAGGCTGTGTACAGTCTAAGTCGAGATTATGTTTATACAGTGTTTGATTCAAAGGGAGTACTATTAACCCAGCTTTTGTTTTTTCCTTATATTTACTGAATATGTTGTTTGGTGATTTACAAATTACATGTGTGTGAAACTATTTAAAGTGACGCACACGCGCGTTTCGATTTAAGGAAATGTAGCTTCATACGTTTCATCAAATCCCATTCATCAATTATAAAATAGTGATTTTTAAGGAATTATTCAAAATGACGAATAATTAGTCAGGGTTTGAATTTTGACTCATTCAGCAATCCCCAGACTCAAAGTCCATGTAAATTATTTTTTTTACCTTAATTTCCTCATTAGAATATCCTTGATAATATGGATAAAGTTGTTTTCCTGTGAGGCCGCACTTTCCTGTTAGTTTGTAAGTCCTTGACCCGTATACAAAGCCCTGAAGGTTTTTGCCTTCTGATGATAAATGCCAACATTTACATGTACACGTACGGACGAGAGCTCGTAAACAAAATGCACCAGTGTTGAACCACTGGGCTGTGAAAAGACTGTGCGTATAATGACTTGTCGAATGACGATCTTACTACTGTGCTGTGACACAATGCAAACTGTTCGGTCGCTTGGGACCTGCGTCATAGGCTATACTTGTACAATCCTTACTTATGTATTTGGTTGTGCACGAAGACTTCAGTGTACATTTCCATGTACACAACCAGTCTCGTCTAGTCTTCTCCTCAGAAAAAGAAGTATCAAATGTAATCGCCCAAAAAGGGAAAAACATAATCACGCATATGCCTAGGTTTGTTCAGAAGGGCAAAATACACGCATAAAAAGCGAGATAAGCCCAGTTCCGTCCTAAGATCGGCTTGACCTTGAATTTAGTTTTGAAGTACATGTAATATTGGTAGGGTTACCGATTCAGCCGCAGCAGTTGATGCCACTCCTGTCGAGAAATATTTGTTTAGAAATCTTGAATTCCCAAGTTGAAATGGCTCTGCTGTTTTTCTAGGTGCGTTGAACTGACTACATGTAGTCGATCATGTTTACACCCAGTGTCAGCGGAAGACATAATTATAAACATTGTTCGTGTTTTCCTCTGCTTTGTTCCTTATTTTCACTTACTTGTAAATAAAAACTTCTTTTTATGAATACTTTGCTAAGCGCAATGACTTGTCATTTGCAAGCGTCGACCGAAACAGATAGGGTTGGCTGCACGTTTGCAAGATTGAACCACTTAAGTTTATTTCCTGGCTGACGTTGTGCGCCTACTATTCATGCGTCATACTCAGTCAAGGGGAACACACGTCGTATTAAACGTTTACAAAATTTACACAATTTAATGTAGGCCTACAGTATAAGCTTTCCTTTGCGCATGTATTCTCCAAAATATATAAATGTGTCCGACGACAAAAACGGCTACGCAGTATGTTTTAAAGTATCATTTGGATGGATGATGCTTAATTTCGATAAATTGAAAGTATGTTATATTTTGCATCAGTAGGCCTATCTATTTTTGGTAAAAACAAGGTGAAAAAAAGTTGTCACCACCTCTGTTATCTGAGATTTTGTGGATGGAGACGTCTTCTCTTGTAAGCAGGAGGTCGTGGGTTCGAGTCCCACCCAAGTGGACTTGTGAGGTTTTTGGCGAGCTGTCTAACAACACTGAGTATAAACAGTCTAACATCGTTGATAAAAGCACTGTCAATAAAAAAAATCTGCTTGTAACAAGGAAATCTCCAGGCCCCAACCCTTTGTTCAATATTTTCTTTCCTGTTTGTGCACGGTGCCTGTCGTAGGGCGTAGGTGTAAGTTGAAAAACATAAGTGACCTCCGCAACCCGAAGTACGTCTTGGATAATAAATGAATACGGCCAGTAGCGGTTGTTAACTAGACCATTTTTAGCGGATTTTGCGAAAGGCACATTGTGATAATCCGGATTTGTAGAAATTGCCGTTATACCTATATTGTTATGTTAATTTAACTTGCTTTTGTGCATGAGTACATGAGTAAACGTCAACATTTCAGGAACTCGGTTTAAAATCTTACATTTAGACATAATCAGCTTCAGCATACAAGTTCATGTACTTGTGTCCTTGATATCACCATCTGTGAATGTTATCATTGGCATATTTTAGACATAAAGACTCCATACATTCCTTAGAATTAAAATGAAAACTTTGCAGGTACATTTACATAATGTAGAGGAGTCGATGGTTTATGTACGGTGATTATTTTCAGATTAAATAACTCTTCTTTTTTCTGTCTTTCTGTCAAGCCAACTTGCTTAGTGAAAACGGGAAGGACATTTCTCTGGGGTCGTACGGTCATGACTGGCTTTTACTTCGAGAAATGGGCATAAAAAATCTCAGGTACGAGGAATTTGGTATTTATTTAGCACGAGGTTTGTGCTTGATTCACTGCTGAAAAATCCCAGCCCCCGTGATTTTGCGATTGCACACACCCTCCACAAGGCTCATTCAGTTCAGCATAACTTGTACCCTTTAAGGGTCACTGGACCTGATACTATAGTGTCGTTCTATTCATTATAAATTGGATTCGAGGGGCCTTTCGCATTTGGGGTTGTTTCTTGCCATCTAAAACTGCACATGTTTGAGTTTGACTCTGCACATGTACATTGCAGGGAGTTTACCGCAAACAAAAAGCTGGAAGAGGTCGTTCATACTGTCTTGAAGAAGTTGGCGGAGGATTTGGATAAGAAAGAGAACCGTCCAGTCAATGTCAAGGACATCATGGTACCGGCGGTGGCTGGTATTCTAAGCCATTTGTGCTTTGGTTTCGAGTAAGTATGAAACACGATAGCCTCGATCGAGAGGGGGGCGGGGCGACGGAAGGACTCCACTAAAAATGCGCCACCATTGTTTGGAGGTATCTTATTATCTCCATGAACCGAGGCATGCACACTTCGTGGTTGATCAAATCCGCTAAACTATGTACAAAACAGCCACGTTCGTGTTCTCATACAGTTTACCCGCACAGTATAGTGCAACCCGAAGCTAATGCTACACGTGCATGTTACCAGTGTATAGCGTAATTGGCCACTCCGCCCTAGCTGTTTTGTTACCCCTCGGGATCCTTGTTAAGTATGGTGTGATGGTGCTTCTTAAGCCAAGCATCCGACGCAGTACCACGAAAAAAACCGTTGAGCAAAATCAGTCCGTCCTTCATCATTGCAAGTTCGGTCCATTTTCGTACGATTTTGCACGCCCTTTTCACAAGAGTGGAACAGGCACAACGGCTGTCGTACTTGACGCACTACCCCCCCCAAACCTAATGCCCATGCGCATTAGTCCCTGTAACGTTACACACACATCCCTGCGTACCTGAAGCATGTTCTGATGGGCTTCCCGACTCGATTTAAAGCTAGTAAACGTGTTGGGCAAGGGCAATAATTCGTCCGACCATCAATGCGGGGCTGTCTGCACTCTGCATATAGGAAAAGACTGCGGCCCCGCACAATGCAGGCAATAGGCAAGCTTTCAAAAGTTTGATAGACGACACAAAACGTGCAACCAGCTCCATGAAACAAACTGTGGGACAAAGAGAAACCCCCCCCCAGCCTTTGTGTTGGTCATTGTTATACGGGTATCTCAGGAATTCTTTCCAGACATCAAGGGGGGATTGTTAAGTGACAATAGGCTGGAGTGTGGGATTGGACTTGTGGGGGTACCCCTCTGTCCCATTTCGCGCCCGGTATGACCAGCTATGCTGTTGGATTGGCACGATAAAAAGAGCCGTGTACGGGTGGTGGCGTTGAAGCTAGTTTTATAAAGAACTCGCGGTTTTGTTGTCGCCCAAATGCGTGCCCATGGTGCCTGATGACGATCGAGCGTTCTTCCTTTCTATAACTCTGCATAGTCAACAGCACAAGGTCGAGTGGTCATTCTGTTTGAATGAAATCAATGCTGTTATTCAAAGGGTCACAATGCTCGAAAGAAGGCCTATAGCTAAGCAGGCCGTTCAAAGCTATAGATTGTGCACAAATTGAGGATGTGGGAATCGAGAAACGAGGTCATAATATTCAGGCCGTTCAAGTCAGTAAACTGCCATGGAAGACGACAATTCTAAACTGCTTCACGCAAAAAAAGTGACGAGAACAAAACAAGTGCCCCACATGTTCAAGATACGCGTCATATCAAAACTTAATTCTGACTTTAACTTTCTGTTGATGATCTTCTGGCTTATGAAGTTGGAGAGCTGACGTCTCTAATCAGCTCCAACAGAAGTTCAGAAGCCCGTCGCCATTTTGGAAAAAGGGACTATCCAGTTCATTGGAAAACAAGTAGTGAGGACTCGGTCATTCCAATATTCAAAGCTCATAACTATTAAACTTTCAACCGTAGAGTGCACTTATAGCGAAAGAACCCTCAGCGAGAAACCTAAAGCTGGAGGTCGCGACCTGGTGGGCGTGGGCAATATGAGGGCCTGGCGGCCCGTATTACCTGAGCGTGTGATTACACTGCATACCTGCAAAGCTACATAACGACAGACTCGGAGAAAGTGTCTCATTCCTACCTGCGTGTCGCAGAGGAACGATCCCGCACTTTCTCAGTCAGCCAGTTAAAACCCAATGTGTCATAATTCGTCCATTGCTTTACCTGTACCCAAATGCATAATGATCAACCGAGCGACCATCCCGATGACTTCCACAAGCTAGTTTCGTGTATCCATATGCCAAATGTGGCATATGGGTTGAAGCAAATTCCAATGCATGTAACAGAATAGAAATCTGGCATTGACATATTTAAATTCTTTTTTTTCTACATAAAAGAATTAAGGAAAGTCTAATACTTTTGACAGCCGCGCACAGAGAAGCACGTTATGGAAGTAACTCGACAATGCCTCCATGGTCTTCAATTTAAATATGTGAAAAGGCTTGGAGCCCTTGTGCATTGCCAAAAATTAAATTGCTGGTTTTACGAAAAGTTGCAAGGGGTGTATTTCTCGTTGATGTTCATTTGTATGACGCAAGGGAAAGTAGGCCTACCTACATGCAAATGGCGTACTACATTGTCCACTCTAAAAAGGGCGCCTGTTTAAACAAATGTCTAAACCTTTTTGTACCCAACTTTTTCACACGTTTAACCCACGACATGTTTATTGGATAGTGTTATGCGTTTAGGGGCGTCTTTAAATGCTAAACGGATTTCAAACAGCCGAACATGTACGACGGAAAAAGCGTTTAGTATTTAAACACATCCCTAAAGACATTTCAGTAAACATGTCACGGATTACACTTGTCAAAAAGTGGGTACAAAAAGTGTATGAACTCTAAACGTTGCTTTTACGTTGTGGAACATAAACAACCACATTCCATTTTGCATGCAGCTTTGTTAGTAATCTTTTCGGTGAAGGGATTTTACATAAAAACTGTCTCTTGTCTCTGTCAAACGACTGACGTCTTCAGTTCAATATCATCCTCTCGTTTTGAGTTGGATTGGGTGCCGATCAGTGGGGTGCTGTCCTGTTGGAAAACATTTCAAATTTTTCAACTGTAATTTGGAATTATGCGCAGAAACCTACCCCCTGAAAGCTTATTTAAGGGGGTGATCTGAAGACTGTATCTTCCGTCCTTAAAAAATCCAACCCAAACTCAGCTCTTTGAAAACGGTCCTGGATCCACGTCGGTCGTATGATGTGTATCGCTTGGTTCCCTTCACAGTGCCGATGCCTCCGTTCATGATCGCGTCGCCAAGTTGTTCGCAGGCGGTCTGTACAAGTACATTGTTGGGCCCCGCTTGCCTGTGGACGTCATCCCGTGCCTGCGGTTCTTCCCCAGCAGTGCACTCCGGGAGGCCAATGCGACCGTCAACGAACTGAACGGGCTGCTGCGCTCGGAGATGAAACGACACGAGGAGAGTCTAGACCCAGGTTAGTTGGTGTTTATCTTGGTTTGGTCACTTGAGTCAGAACATGGACGCCCAACCGTCAGTTAGAACTTCCAGGTGATCAACGTCATCTATATTCTGTATTGGATTCAGTGGAAATTTTGGTAGATGTAGATGCCATTAATAATGTGGTAGTACATACAAAAAAGAAGAAAAATCCTCATGACATAATTCCGCACCGGCACAACAAAAAGATGGCTACCTCTTCATCTTAATGTTTATTCGACTTTCCACGTCTAAAACTAGTTCCAAGAGCCTATTTTTCGTAGGAACCATTGACAAGTTCTCAAAAGGCCAAACTAGAGTTAAGGCCGTCATTGTATGACGTCAGATCCCGTTTGCCTTCCGGGCCCAACGATAAAGGGCACGGAGCAGTTTCTGAATGTATATTGAAACCGAGAAACTTCAAGTAGATCATACAGGTTAATGCCTTTATTTTGTCAACAGGAAAAACCATTACTCATTAGTAATTTGGGTAGCTACCAGGAAACAAACTAGGCCTGCAGACGGTTGTTACTGACTCTACATGACACTAGACGAGTGTACGCCTTGTTTTGTAATACTTCGGCTTCCGATGCCTGCTTTGTTTTCGGGAAACGTAGCTTAAAATATTTTGTTTCGGTTTCCTTCATGCACGGTCTCTCAACCTGAAAGAGAAACTTAAAATTGCCATCAAAGCCATGCACATGTTCTAAATCTTTCTATATTTTACAGATTTTCCTAAAGTACTTGTAAAATTAAAAAGCCTTTCTAGGGAATTCTTGGGAAAGTTTTGAGCTGCTTCAATTGCTTAACTCGTTGCTTATTTTCCCTGTATACATGTAACTAGGTCTTCTGTATTAGACACGCAGAGCCTTTCCTCAGCACTTTGTAAAGTTTGATATTCAATGGAGATTTGTGAAGCTAAACCTACTGTGCGTCACATCACACAAGGAAATTGTTTGTGCGCCAGACACAACTTCGTGATTAATCCCACTTCATCATTTTAACTGTTGCATATGAAATAAGAGTGTCATTCCAAAGTTTTGGTAATTTTGAAATTTTAGAAAAAGTCCTCGATTTAGGCAGCTTAAACTTGTTTATTTATGAACTAGGTTATGATTTATATTTATGCTTTTTTATGTCTCTCGACGAAGTCAAAGGGGAAATGATTGTCCGCCTCTTTTCGTATATCTGTTTGTTTGTCCAGAATATTTTTGCAGCGCGAAAACTCGAGAAGTTCCTTGCTCGTGAACGTCGAATTGGTTTGTGGATTGCCGTTTGTAATCCTGAACAGCCTCTCAAAGGTCAATGTCATAACGGCTAAAAACAATGGAAATCTCGTCGGCGCAAGAACTTGACAAATGCTTTGCGTATGAACATCAAAGTTGATTTGTTTATTGCTCTTACGAAGCCTATTTGCATATCTGGCCAAAGGTCAAGGTCACAATGATTAACACAATGGAAATCCAGTCCGCACGATAACTTGATAAATACCTTGCGTAGGAACTTCAAATTTGGCCACTTTACACAAGAACAAACCAAATAGTTTTGAGGTATTTAAAAGTCGATTTTCCGGACTTTTAAATCCAGTCTGTGACTGAGTCCAGTCTGTAGCCTGCACTCAACATGTGGTCTGGCGGAATGGATATATTTAGTTAAACAGGAAGACCACCAGCAAATGGACTGGGATAAAATCAGAAGTACAATGAGAAGTCAGGTCACTTGTCCGTGTCTGCCCTCAAGGACCAGAGAAAAGGGAAGTGGGTTCGTTTGCGCGGTTACTCCAGTTATTCACGAGTATGATGTGTGCGTATTACACTTGGGTGCAGGAGTATAGGCCTACCCCCCCCTAGCGAGAGTGTACTCTCGCTGACCCTCGGGTCGCACTCCAGTCGTCTGAGCGCTCAGGAGTCCATTTATATCATATGTTAAAGGATGTTCAACGGCGTTTCATACATGTATAGCGTTTTGATCAGACAGATCAAAATGGCATTTTTACGTAATCGAGGTTATCCTCACAACGTATACATCAGATTTCAATGAAGTTTCAAATTTTGAAAAGATAACATGCAAAGCTCAAATGTAATACCAAACAAGAAGTTCTCGCAATCATTTTGAACATCTGGGGTTATTTGCGTATATATGTTTATTTGTTTTGTTTTTTATTTGGTTTTGTTTTGGTTTTGGGGGGTTTCTTTTGGGATGGGGGTGTTACTCTGTTTGGGGGACATGTTTAATTGTGTTCAGAAATTATGCGTGCAGCACTGACGCTTGTATACCGTAGTTTGAGTTCGATTTTTCAACCGATCAGAAGAGGAATCGGCAAGAGGTATAGTCGGTGCTTCTTCAGCCGACGCAGTGGTAAGATGGGTCAACACAACACAGTCATTCAACAAAACTAGCGTACGGCATTCCAAATTTGAGGACTGAACAAGCGCGCCAAAGATTAACAACAAGCATACCAAAGAGTTTTAGCAATCCAACCGTTCCATGCGTTGAAAGGCTGCTTCTTTCATTCACCTGCAGTGTTACTGTGCGTAATACATGCCTTTACATTTATATTTCACCAAGAAGCTTTGCTTATTTGGCTGCGTGGTATTAGTTGAACGCATAACCCCCCAATGATCTTTGTAAACTTCAGGGAGTGTCTCCCAAATGGCTTAAACCAAAACGGTGGAAGGATTTTTTTGCGGGAAAACCAGCATCAAAAACAGTGACTTGATAATTCGTTGTGGTTTGGGGTGTCTGTCGTTGTCATGCGGTTTGCTCACGTGTCTGGTTTTGGGTTTTCTTTCATGTTTGTTTATTCTAATGTCACATCCAAAGGACGATGGAGGCCAATCCCTTTCCTCCCCCGAAACGGTGCGTTTCTCCAATTAAAGAGAGAAACCCGACTTTTTGGTCTATTTCATTCTCAAAGGGTGTAAAAAGTCTCAAAATGCAGCCTTTACTCCCGTAAAAGGCCGTGAAAAGGATACACGGAAAATAAATAAGCTCCGCCCCTTATTCACTCTTGATTTATACCCTTTTTACGCGACACGCACCTTTTGTGTCTGCCATAGAGCAGTGAAGAATTGTCGTGCACAATGTAAACATTAAATGTTAACCTTTTGCAGTTATGTGTACAGACTTTCTCAACGTGCTCTTTGACGCAGCATGATGTAAAGGCTGTTTTGTGCCTTCACAAAATACACTGATTGACATCGCTCGCTGTAGCCGCTGTTTTCCGCTGTAGCAGGGGTGTCTGGTACCGGTAGGGGTTAAATTGTGCCCTCCTTTGACACACTATCTCGTCACGTTTGAAAAGAAACAATGGAATTTCGCCCAAAAGAGCAAGATGCCTTTTTAAATTTTCTCTCCCCAACCTTTTCTCATTAATGTTCCCCCCCCCTTCCCTTGTGCAGACAAAACCCGTGACCTGATGGACGGCATAATCAAATGCAGAAATCACGCCCGAGAGACTGAACCCGACAAGTACGAGTTCCTCACCGATACCCATGTCTACCAAGTTATCTCCAACTACCTTGGCGGAAGTGAGTGGATTTTATCCACCCTGTTACAAGAGGGTGTGGCTTTCCAGTAATTTCAATTTAGCTGAATAAGAGCCATGTTGGTGCGACAGTGGTTTGCCCATGAAAATGGGATTCCAGTTTTTTTCCATGGATTCATTTACAGGCATACCGCAATGGTTCGTAGGGCTGAGCCGAATATCCGACTAGTCGATCGTATGTCGAATATTCGAATATTATTTTCCGAATTTGAATTTTCTAATGCGAATTGCCTGAAACGGAAGGGGGGCATTTTCTTGTGATTTAAATGAGAAGAATTGCACCATAGGCTTGCTTCAAGCAGATTCAAATGAAAAGTGACAGAAATATTACAAAGATTCAAAAAGTAAATTATTCATTAAAAATTACAAGGACTAGAAAATGTTCAACAGGGCAAGAAGAATTGGTCGTTTGTTAAATCTTGCTAAATCGTGGCTGGAGATACTCCCAGACGTGAATAGCAATTATAGTGACTGTTATGTGCAATTGTGTGCGTTATTGCAACTGATGTTGTACATGTATATGGTTTGTTCATCAACAATCTGCCGGTCAGTAGGCAAATATTCGATAGTAGTGAATTATTCGAATGGACTCAGCCCTATAATTGTTTTATTTCATTCAGTACTTCGGACGCGTGGGCTTGAATTCTATAGGCATTAGTTTGTCACAGCAGATAGGGTGATATCAGATCCACTTTGAATTTTTGTGGATTTCTCGATTTGAAATCAGTGGGGCAGTGCAGACTCTCTGGCGTTCCTGAAGATCATTCAGCGGTAATCGGATTTTCCTTGAAAATCCTGTCATCAGTCTCCTTAAAAGTTCCAAATAGGACAGAATTGAAAGAAGTCACCGTTTTGATTGGGAAGGGTGAATGTTCATCGACAAACTTCTTAATTCCGACAGCCACTGCCGGCTTTCTGGTGACCTCACTGACCGCCGCAGCTCTCCTAGTCAGCAACCCGGAGCAGCAGGAGAAGTTCTCTGCCGCGGTGACCAACGAGGTTGGCGAGGACCGAATGCCAGGAGTGGACGATCAGGAGAAGTCGGTGTACGTCCGTGCCGCCATCGAAGAGATCCTCCGTTACGCATGCATTGCCCCTGTCGGCGTTCCGCACAGAACCACACAGGACTTCACTTTTCGTAAGTCAGTCAGGCATTACTTGTCAGAAATGGAGTGTTGTAGTGCAAGGTTGGGTAAAATGAGGGTTGTCTTGCGTCACGAGTAGCAGAACCAGCGCACGCGCAAGTTAAATTATCACAAGACAGTGAAAGGCGCAATCCTACTGTTTCCGGTTGTAGAGGATGATTTCTCACGAAGATTCGAAACGATGTGTGGTTACCCAAAACAATTGCTGTTTGGAAACGGAGACAATCGTACTCGCGTGCTTGTGGTAACTATGGACACGCCGAGGAGCCTCATTCCATCCCACCAATGTGCAGCTTTAGACACTGTAAAACGTCATCAGTATACCGGGCTTCTTTGATGTTTCAGAAAAGATGCTTGTCATGTGCCAAACTGGCCAGCATTAAAGGGCCGTGAAAAGTGCTTCTTATTAGTTATGATTGAAAATGGCCTGTTTTTAAATGATACCCAAAATGAACAGTTTGTGTTTTGATTAATAAATGGGAAAAATTAATTTTTGGCAAAATGGACCCGCCCCCGAGAGGTATCCGTTAACCTAGAAAATTTGCATATCTGTGACACACATTTGAGACACCGTCGTGCGCCGTTGCTTGTCTTAGGTACAGTTCGGAAAATTCAATCCAATTTTTGGGTGTTTAAGAGATCATGCCGACCACATAAGGATGGGAAATGCCTGCATAACTGTCCAACCGAAGACTAAGTTGGACATTGAAAGTCAGGCTGACCAGGGCCAATTGGTCGGGAACGACAGAGAGCTCCACACTGTGCAGTGCGCATTTCTAGCCTCAGGCCGTGTCCGAAACGGGCTTCCAGAGCTACGGCTAGGTCTATTGTCTACGCGTGTCCACACATTTCCAATGGAGCGAAGAGCTAGACCTAGCTCTAGACAAGAGATTCGGATGCAGCCTCGGGGTCTTCCTCCGAACATGTACGACTCCTTTGGGCCAAACGATCGCTGACGTCAGACGCCGCGTCCACGATCTTTGGGAAATCAAACAAAGCCCGTGAACAAAGACGGAGAGGGGCTTTCATGAAACGCGAACGACAAAGGTTAAGAAATGCCTCCAAATCAGCCCAGGTTGTTTCGCTCAATATAACCGTGTAGGCCTATACTGCCCATATGGTGGCCGCACCGCAGGTGCACACAGTTTATCGCATGTGGGTCACGGACGTATAAAAAAAACCTGGACTTGCAACGCCTTTGTATGAAAAAGAAGCCAACCAGCGGCCAATTTGCCGAGCCAAATACAAATGTGTTGGTTGGCTTGCTTGTACTGACGTCAGGAAGACCAAAGGCAGACATTGCTAGGAAAGCTTTGCATTCGGCTCGGTAAAATGGCCGCGAGTGGATTCAATGACTCTATAAGCTGATTAAGGGCATTGCGAGTCCAGATTTTATATACACGTCCGTGATCTGGGTGTACATGACTTATTATTTTACGTTCGAACAGTCTGCGGGCAGGTAAATTATGCGTGTCCAGTGGCCATGTTCCACCTCGTTCCAGACGTGTCAAATGGGTGCCTAACTATAATTTAGGGTTTATTCTCAAACATAGCGCCATCAGTTGTTGGGATTAAAACATTCACTAGCGGGGTCAGTAAATTAACAACAAAGGGAATTTTATTTTTCTTCCAGTTTTACTGAATATTCTAGTGAATATTTTAAACAATTATAGTTGATAGTTTGTCCATGGAGGTCTTCATGGACCCTCTAACGTTTGCTGCATTAACAAAAGCCCGTAAAAAATCATCTGGGGATTAACCTGTTGAAAGCCAGTATCCAGTACATGCGCTGTAGCGTTTTGAACTTTCTTCAGAAAAAAAATATACAATTGTTGTCAAGGTCTGTTAACTTTGCCGCGAAGTTGTCGAGTATTATAGGTGGAAAGTGTGAATCGTTTTCGTGAGAATTTTTATCATTTACAATTGGCCCTATTCTATTACAAAATATCCTCTCATGCTCCCTGTGTTTTTGGTTTTGTTTTCGTCAAGGTGGGTTTAAAGTTCCGGCCAACACGGGAGTCTTGGCCAACTTCTACGGCCTTCACTTCAACGAAAAGTATTGGCCTGAGCCATTCAACTTCAAGCCAGGTATGAATATTGATGGTCCGGTGGAGGGGGCGGGGCTCGTGGCCGGAACCCACCACCTCCAAGGGCGATTTTTTCCTGGTTCTTTTCAGAACCACACAAACTCACAAAGAGATCACACGGTGCTACAGCAATCCATTAATGAACTTACCACCTTAGCCATGAACAAGTGCAAGTCTCATCCGACTCAATCTCAACTCTCAAATTCTCTGTTCTAAGTGTCCATCATCTGAACTTTCTCGCTGCAATTTTTTTTTCAAACTAGAATGCTATAAATTACATCACCCTGTGACGATTAAATGCTTTGTGTATTGTGTTGGTTTTGAAAGGAAATTGCACTGTGCACTGTGTTAAAATGAACTACTCTTACTGAGACGGTTTGATACGGGCCTTTTATATGTCATCTGGCCTTACAGAACGCTTCATCGACGAGAGCGGAAACTTCAAATCAAATGAGCACATGTACCCCTTCGGATTTGGGGCACGTGCGTGTCTGGCTCAGACCCAGGCTCGGCAGATGATGTACCTCATTCTCAGTTGGCTGACTCACCGCTACGCTCTATGCCGGGTCCCTGGGGAGGAGAACCGAGATCTGCTCCAGCAAGATCCGGCCGTGAAAGTTGCGAAGGCTGTAGCACCATTCAACCTTATTTTAAAGCGCCGATTTTAAGGTTTTATGAGTTCGAAGAGAGGAAATGCACGACCGAGACAGAACAAAAAACCGCTGAAAATGCCCCGTTAATACACCGAACAGTTTTTGACGAGATACCTTTGCGCCAGGGGCGTATCCAACTTTTGGTAAGGGGGGGGGGTTAAATCAAAAGCGAATGCGGCTCAGTTGATTTCTAAGGCTTTTGTTGCCAACATTTTATGTAAGTATACCAATTACTTTCTATCCTAATCACCTATGAAGTATCAGTTATTAAAAAAAAATCGGTCGGAGGCAAGTTGGATATGCCACTGCTTTGCGCAGTTTTTCACAAACAGAAATTGACACCGTAAAATTAGTGTTCAAAGTAACCAGACGGCTGACTTGTGACATGTTGATATTCTTTTTAGAGGGTTTTGGTTTCGTTTCGTTTTGTTTTTAGGTGTGTTGTTAAGTAGTGTGGCTCGTAGAATTCATGGATAATAGACCGATCCAGTAAGCCTTTCCCACTGCGCACGTGGACACTTTACAAGTGCTCTTCTCCAGTACCACACTACATGTTCCAGCCGCGCGCATGCATGGTGGATTCTTTGTGCACGCATGTGGGACACAAATCACGGCTGTGATTTGTCAGAAGACAAGTGGGCAGGGCTTAATTAATTAATTAATGGATCGGTCTAAACATCAACGGACCGTTTTACAGAAGTGTGCAACTCCGAGCGGCTCCAGTTCAAAATCACGTTCGATCTCTGTTCCATGTGGGTTCCCGATTGTTCTCAACTTCTCATAGAGCATGCGCTCTTCATGAGCTGCAGTTTACTCTTTTTGTTTCGACGAACTAGTTTTCTTAATCACTTTAGAAAACGGATACGTGCTTCGATTTCAATCAGGTCTGTAACCTTTTTCTTGCCTGCTGAGGAAACGAATGTTTTTTTCAGAGTGATTAGGTCCATCACAAGTCCTGATTGCCGTTCACGGTTATAACGTAACACATTTTTCTGGAAAGTCGCTCAATATTATTGTTTCATTTTTTCTTTGGGGACGTAGGACCTCGTTGCAAGTTGAAGACAACTTGGTTGTGTTTTTGACTAGTCTTATCTAATCACCGTAAAGTATTTTTAAAATAAGAAAATATTGAAGTAGTTTTTCTGTCCACCGCCTTAGAAAATATTTGACAGTATACTAAGCGGCATCTACCTAGAAAATATTTTTGCCACCCCTACCTCGGATATTTCAGAAGCTTTACGCTCCAGGGTGCCTTATTTAATCACTCTTTCGTCATGTATTATATGTTTATGAAGGTATTACGGTAACAATTATAACTTTTATATATTTTTGTTCATTTCATACATATGTATATCATTTCCTCAATCATAGACCTGACTATGGAGCGTCAAAAGTGGACAACCTCATTTTCTCATTTTCTGCTAGCATATTTTTGGGATTTTGGACTTTGCCTAAAGCATTTTCAAAAACGCAATTTTCCGCTCGGAAAGATTTGGATTTTACTTTAACAACTCTTCGTGGCGCGTCAAAAGTGGACAACTAAAAACTTCAAATTCCCACTGGCAAAAATTACTCTCATGCTCCAAAAATGGACAACCCCATTTTCCCATTTTTTGCCAGTAGATTTTCGGGTTTTTGGAATTTGCGTATAGGAATTTCAAAAACTCACTTTTCTGCTAGCAAAATTGGGCATTTACTTGAAGAAGTCTTCGTAGCGCGTCAAAAGTGGACAAGTAAAAACTTCAAATTTTCACTACCAAATTTTGTTTGATGCTCTCAAAGAGGATAACCCCATTTTCTGCAAGTAGATGTTCGGGGTTTTTGAAGTTTCACCACCCCTTTTCATAAAAACCTAATTTTCTGCCAGCAGAAATTTGGATTTTACTTTGCCGACAGTGGGGTGGTTCAAAAGTGGACAAGTTAAAAACTGGAAGGACGATTTTCTCCCTACGTTGAAATGGAACGGTCTGGGGAAGATTGGCATCACCTGACCCTGAAAACAAATAAGGTGGACGAAAGTTGCGAGAATAACAGAAAATGAGAAGATGAGGTTGTCCACTTTGGACGCTCCATACCTGACAGAAATGAAATTTCGTTTTAATGAGTCAACTTGTGGCACTTTTTTCAGGTACAGGATAGCATACCTCGAGTATCATACTTAAAGGTTATACTTATTTAAAATATTAAAATCAAACGAAATGACAGAAAGGTACAGATGTACAGACAATCTAATAACACATTACTTCAAGCACTCCTTCCCGCGAGGAGTAGACGTGATTTTTTGAATGTAGCTGCCGTGCATGCGTGATCACATGACTCATGGAAGACAATGCCTTGCGCTGCTATGGCTGTATAGAGGTGTTATGTAATCCAGTTTTATGTTAATGTATTTCTCCTTGGATACTTTGCCGGTCGTAACACACATCGAACCCGCTAAGAACTGCAGTTTCACATGCCTGTGTTAGTGGTCCGTACTTGAATGCATATACTGGGTGTAGGATTGGATTCAGTTAACATTGATTTACTTCAGATACTTTCGCAAAAGTTTAATCAATTCGCGTTTAACACTTTTTTGTGTCGACGAAGAAAGGTTCATGTATAAAATTTGATTCTTTAAAAGAACTATCAGGATTGCTATTGTTAGTTGGAATGAAGGTTATTTGCGATATTCTACTTTTCTACTTATTAATTAAATTTGAAGCAAGATATGGGACTGACAGACCTCCACTTATGTTGGTCATTATTCTATCGGAATCTCAGGAATTATTCCAAGATATTTTGGACAAGAACAATGTGTTAGGTAGCAAATAGTCTAGAGTGTAGTTTTGTACAAGAGTGGGGGTATACCCTTCCGTCTCATATCTTGCCGGGTACCGATATGCTTTGTTTGCCGTGAAGGCTTTATCACAGAACTTGTTAAGAAATGTCAGTTAATTTAGAATAGACCATTAGGGACTAGTCTTACATGTTACTTCCGTGGTGGCACTCCGCTCCCGAGAAGTTGGTGCAAGCACGTTACGGCGTCTTTCTATGTGTGTCAACGCTTGCGCAAAGCGTTGCACGTCCGTCAAAATCGGGCCCGGGGAGATTTTGAAGGCTAAACGCAACGCACACGTGTGACATGATGCTGATGGGGTCGCTGTTGTGTGTCCGTGGGAGTGAAACGAATGAACGCATCGTGTGCGCCATGCCCCCAAAATGGTACATATGGAAAGGCGCCTGTACACGCCTCCTCCACCAAGACAGTGGTGTGGCTTGCCTGTCGACCATAGAGTACCGAAGTGAATACGTCACGCGCACAATTAGAGTGTAATAGGCACTAGCGCGAGAACCAGCGCGTGAACCAACACGCGCGCGTACTCCATTCGTTTGCGCTGCACTTTGTGGTTCACAGTGACGTCACACTTCGGTACTATTGCCATGATGCTTGTCTGGTTCCCGTAGACCATTTGGATAGAGTTATACAACTTCACATATTGATAAAACAGAAAAGACTATTTTTTTCCTGCTAGGCTGAGTTTGACAATATTACTTTGAGTGGTAGAAAAGCAAGATGGCTGCCCCATACTAGAGGTCTGTAGTCTGCAACCGCGCCTCAAGTTTCGAAACTGCGGCGTGAGTATGGTACCCACGTAGTAACGGTGTCTTATCGGATTAATAAAAGGTGTTCAGAATTATCAGGCAAGTAGATGAAATATCTTATTCCTCCATGCTTCAACCCCTGTGTCATTTGAGGATTCGATATCAGTGGTATGGACTATATACAAGTATATGTACAGTGCAACGTGTGCTTTTGAATTAAAAATGAGAGTGCCGTGGCTGGAAGACTCAGCCCAGCATCGTGTGTAGGCTATGTTGGGGAAAGTGTTTACCTGTGGGCCAACCTACACCGAACACAACGTGGTCTGTTGCAAGCGTGCGAGACTCCATGTATGTACACTGTACATGTAGGCCTTCTGCCGATGACGTCATCCAATCAGCCTAGAGCGCGAACGGCCCAAGGGGGTGGACGGGGAAACGCGGGATCTTTTTATCAATATCAATAGGGTAAACACTGAATTTATGATGTTTTTTAAATGGTTTCGTATTTATTGTTATTTTGAAATACTTCACGTGAACTAAATGTTTTCAATTTCTGGTAACCATCAACAAAACGCCGTTGGTTCACGTGTCCTTAGTTTTAGGCGTGGGAATCTGCCAGCCGAAATGAATATCAATGTAGGCCAGTTTTGGTTTTGGTTTCGACCAAACTACTGCAATGGCACTGGCGGAGACAGACAAAATTGAGCGACAATGAAATACAGCCACACAACATGAAAAAGGGAAAATTCTTGGAAATTGATCAACCCACCCCTAGTGCAGAAATGTGGCTGGCCTAATACATTGTGATAAGGAAGTGATTTCTACTTTTAATTCTATCCCATCGGCCGAAACTCCCCTCCAAAACCATGGCCAGCATCACATCTATTCAACTGCACAGACTCCTCGCAATGAGACGATATACGAACAATTTCGTTTCTGTTTACATCTGCAGTGGACTGTGCACTCAGGTGATGTCATTATGAGGTTGCAATTTTGGCCAGTTGCAACGGATAAAACTACATCCTTAACTGCATCAAACAATATCCACCACACATCATCGCCATAGATAAACAAGTTCAAAAACGTACACAGTTGAATACATGTACAATGTAAACATCCTGCTTCCAACTAAGCAATGTTTATCACGATTCCTGTATCCGATCCAATCATTTTGTCTCATTTAAAATAAACTTTACAATTCAAACTAACAGTGAGTTGGCACGAAACTACCATGATTTTTAAATTTCAATTCTGAAGTCCAGCCACTTACATGTTATTGATATTACTCACATTTGAAATTAACACAACTTCTGCATTACTGGGAAAAAATGGGGCGAACGGACATTCTAAAAACAATGGAGCAGTACACAGCTTCCGCCACAGTACAAAAGCTCTGCATAACACATACTGCAAACATGGAAAACCTAGCGCAGAGAAACAGAGCTACAACTTTATGACTGCAGTCGCAAATTTTATGACATGGTCAATGAGCAAACTGGATCACCGAGTCACTGTGTTATGAGTGACACCAGCAGCCTACTCAAAAGCAATACATACGATTTGACACGTACACGCCTACAGCACATTTTGTATCACCTCCTCATTTCGGAAACTTGAGAGTAGAAACAAAAGCAATTAAGTAAAATTTCATAACGATTTAACACCTGTCTCGTCTCACAATTTGATATTGGTGATAAAACGTGCCTTCAATGTTTTAATTCAGAATCTTGAAAAAAAGTACAGTACATAAAAAGAACTGACGATCACTCCCTTTGTGTGGTGCCATGCCTTCTGTTGAAGCACATGTACAGTGGAGTATGGTGTCTAATCACGAACAAATGAATGAACCACATGTATACCTTTAAAGGCAGTCAGCGCTTCCCGACTTTTCGTCATTGTTCCAGAATTCCGTAAATAATTCAGGCAGCCTAATAACAACTAAGGGGTGCAAGGAGATAACTTTATTGGACTTACATGTGTTTGGACTTGGGCTGTAAGTATTGACCTCGTATTCGATGTGATTCTGTGACAATTTTATGATTGGATTCTTTTCATGACCAGTTGATTACTTTGCATACTTTAACCATGGAGGAAGGAGGGGCTCAGTCCATTTCTCCGATGTTTGTCACGCTTATAATCGATGTAGGCCTATACCACTGTCACAATCTGGGTCGTAGTTTCTGAAGGACTGTATTGTTATTTACAGTTTTCACGGAGCCATTTGCCACAAATAAACCAGAGGCTTCAGTTGAGACCCTTGGTAATCCTGTATTTGGAACATCGGTTTCCGAAATTAACATAAATTAGCCATGCCAGTTTTCAGGCAAAGCCGATTTCAGGCTTTTTGTTAAAAACGGACTAAATTCTGGCCTTAATGTCCAATTTTAACTTCTCTGGCCATATTTTCTGGTTCTGGATAAAAACTGATTGACATTTTCCATTTTAATGTTATCCCCCATATTACCACAGTTTATACATACGCACCGGTCACCAGGGTGTACTCCATAACAGATGTACACTACATTATACATAAATCATATTCAAGTCTCCAACTTGCAACAATTGTTAATTCCATTGTATTGCAACTACACA